CCACGCCTCAGCACAGAAGCCGAGAAAACCAAACAAGTAACAAGTCGCACCTAAGGGCTTCCTACACCCTAAACCCTAAACCCTTACAGCTTGAGGGTTGCGCCTTTTTTTTGAGCTTGGGGCTCAGGAGACAGCTTCTAGACTTTTCGGCTGGAGGAGTTTACAAATCTACTTGAGGGTTCAGGGCGACTAAAACCCAAAGATATTTTCCTCCTAACCTACTGCTAAGCCCACCTAAGTCCCTTAATGTGGTTTTTGTGTGGACTAGAAATTAAAATCACCACTTGAAATTACCTGAACCTCCAGGTAGGGTTAAAGAGGAGTGGAGTGGGGTCTTAATATCCAGGTTGCATCTATACACGTACGAGGAATCTCCGACAGCACATTCGTGAAGAGACAGGGCCCTGGAAAAGGTAACATGTATCAAACACGGTAGGAGCAAAGCAGACGAAGCAAACAAACCAGCCAAAAACAAAAACAAAAAACAGAAGGCAAAGGCCAATGCCCAGAGCTGACAAAATCCCGCGGATGTCGATGATATCCTGTGCCTTGTTTTCCGCAACAACCGAAGCACAAAACGTAGCCGAACAGCCGCAAGAAAAAGGAAAACCCATGGAAACCCGGAAACATCCTTGGAACTGGATCTCGGTAGAGGGCCTTGAGGTTATAGCCCCCCCTCGTGCATAAAATATCCCTAAAGCCTGAACCCTAAACCCTAAATTGTAGTTTCCATTTTCTCTTCCAATATATACCCCCCATATTCTATCTACTTAAGGGGGACTATACCCTAAACCGCAATCCCTCAACCCTAAACCCCCATATTCTATCTACTTAAGGGGGACTATAAATAGTGTCGTGCGCAACCCATCATGGCTGCTGCTAGAGATCCGCTTGAGGATTCCTAAGGGTTTTTTTCGAGAAGCTCGGGAGATTGGGCTATTTCGGACCCCAAGCCCTGAACCCTAAACCTTAAAGCCCCTAAGCCCTAACCCCCTACACCCTAAACCCTGAACCTTTAAGCCCCTAAACCCTAGATCCCTTAAACCCTCAACCCTAAACCCCTTAACCCCTAAATCCCGAAATCCCTGTCATTCGTCAAAAGTTAAGTCCAAGACCTGAACTACAAGGTCCTGTCAAAGAGCCCCCACCCCCCAAATAGTTGAGGGTTTGGGGTGTACGGTTTTAGTGTTGAAGGATTCGGGTTTAGGTTTAGAGTTTAGGGATTGGGTTAGGAACCCAAATATACTGCAGGATAGACCCGACGTTCGGAGTTGGCATTATCGGAAATGCTTACTATGCCCACTTGTGAACATTTATCCCTGGCTGTTTGTACAGAGGGCTATGCCTCATGGCACAGCAACACCAAGATCATGTGGGGGACTGTCAAAATTATGGTCCCTTGTTGGGTCCCTATTATAATACGGGGCCTAATTCGGGGCCTAATTTAGGGGACCCAAAAAGGGACCATAATTTTGACAATCCCCCATGTGAGCTATACTCTAAACTCCTGGTGCGCCCCTTTGATAACCCCTTTGATAACCCGTATAGAACCCCCTATATGACTCCTTCTAAGGATTTGCTTATAAAGACTCTATCAGAAACTTGCCTGCGACATGGCAAGCTTCTGTCTGAAGCCGAACCCAAAATTCCGAATTCCAAGTCTCCATGCCATTATCCGTCGGAGTTTCCATTTGATACTCTTGCTTTTTTCATTTGCATCTTCTTTTCACTTCCTTCATACCGAAATTTCCACATTCATCCATTGCGGCTCCAAAATCGGCCGAAGTGCTCTGCACAATTCCCAGCGGACGCACTCGTATGCCATACGACACTCCATGAACTCCTCTGAAACAGCTTCTTGGGGCTCGGAGTTCGGGTTGAGAGTTTAAGCTGGCGGCGTTAGAGTTTGGAGTTTTGCATGTATAGTCCCCCTTAAGTAGATAGAATATGGGGCATATGGGATCCTATTATAAGATACCTAAAGCCAGGACAGTCTTAGGTCTCCGAAAGGGAACCTTTTCAAGCACTGATGGCGACCTGTGAATATAGCCAGGTAATCTTCTGGTCTGCATGACTTATATCACAATGCAGACCTTGGAACGAAGGAAAACATAATGAGAATCGGCTTGAGGCAGATGAGAATGTAATGTCACAAAGATGATGCAGGAACAATACTTCAGACTCTCTAACCCGCTTATGATTGTGGCTTCCGAACACAAGCCGTTCTGTGGCCAAGAGTCTGGGATCATTCCACACTGACTCATCGAAGATGCAATTTTCAGGCAGCTCAGTGTCGTCGTCAATGTGCATGATATACCTAGATCGGTGGGCGATGCGAGCTTGGATTACGGACTTAGATTGTTTGACTTCGCGCGCTACCTCATGACTACCCCTTGAAATTAATTTAAATCACGACCAAACCCTAAACCCTAAACCCTTAACCCTGAACTATACCAAACCCTAAACCCTAAACCAAAAAACCCTAAACCCAAATCCAAGGATGCAAACCCCAAATCGCTAAACCCTAAAGTCCCCCTTAAGCAGCTGGAATATGGCTTTGGGTATATTATAGTGAGATCCCCATATACCCCATATTCTATCTACTTCAAAAGACTATAAACCCTCCGCGGAAAGGCTCACAATTCTCGGGCTTAGCGACTCGACTTCGTCGGGCATCAGCGAAAGACCCTTCCAAAGCGCATTGGCTTTGTGGCCGATCCTTACTGTTGATGGAGGAAATCTTGCACCACCTTAAATCTTTAAGTCCTAGGAGTTACAGTAGTTTATGGCCCCTAGGTGGTGCAAGATTTCATCTATCAACGATATGTCAGGGTTTGGGGTTCAGAGTTTTTTTATGGTTTAGGGTTTAAGGTTTAGGGCTTAGGATTTGGGGGACAGAGTTTGGGGTTTAGGGTTGGGGATGAAGGTTTGTAGGGTAGTTTCCATAAACGAGGGCTAGACCTCAAAATGCTATAATCCTTGGTATGGGGACATAGGTTTTGTAGGGTCCAAGGATTTTGGGGCGGCGAGTTTCCGCTTGAACCTTGCCCTATACAGTTAGTATTCACCTGGGATTACGGGTCCAGGGTTAAGTTGTTGGGATTAGGATTGAAGGTGGAGGTTTGAGGTTGAATGTTCATGGTTTAGGGTTTGGGGTGTAAGGTCTGCAGTTTAGGGTTTGGGATTTAAGGTCTGGGAAGCCCCAAAAAAACCGAGCCTAAACCCTGGACCTTGAACCCCAAGGTGTAGCAGACAAGCCCCCATAGAGCTCGAAAACCCTGGGTTCATAGTGGGAAAATGGAAACAACAAGGTATTGTTTTTTTAAACAACTGTTTAAGGTTTAGGGTTTTGAGTTTAGGGTTTAGCTCAGCTTGGCGGCGGAAGCCAGGCGTACTTCACACTCGGGTTCAGTTGCTTCAGCACCTCGCGAGTGTCGTCCAAAGGCTCCACGCTATTGCCGTTGTCCACCACCTTCAAGGAACCAGGTAAACGTGGTTTAGAGTTTAGGGTTTAGGGTTTAGGGCTTAGGCAAAAACACTCTAGTCTCGTTTATGATAGCAAGTACAAGAGACTGTAGGATATTACCTGGTTTTTTAACTTGGGTGTCCCCTACCCAGTCACAAAACCCCAGAATCCCTAAACCCCACAACCCACTATGAGGGGAATGACACAGAATGACAAGAGCTTTAGGAATTGGGAGCTTCCCTAAATGGAAGGCCCCAACGTAGACCCCATTCTACTAGAATCCTTCTTACAGGGGACCCCAAAAAAGTACCCCGAAGGTCGGAAAAAACCTCCATTTGAAGAAGGGGATCAAAGATGAACTGTCTTAACCCTAAACCCTAAAACTCTAACACCCTAAACCGCGTTTACTCCCTCAGGCCTGGCACTTGGGGTTCAAGGTTTGGGCGTTTTATGTTCCGGATCTCGTGGGCTCCAAGGCCTACAGCCTACCAGCAACATCCACCACATGCCATGCGGGCAGCCCGTCCAAAATCAGACTAATTCGCCCATTTGGGGGGTTGCAACGCCGTAAGACGAAAACTAGGACGAGAAACCTTGGGGGTTGTCCAGGCAGGCGATGGCAAAAGTTGCAGCCCGTGTAAATGTAAACATCAGCAAAACCCCGAACCCAGAACCCTAAACCCCACCCCAAGTTTGTGAACACCCACGGTACTTCACAACACGCACCAAATTCCAAACCTGGCTGCGATGTCGACAGCCGTTTTCAAACAACTCAGACCAAGCCCGCAATCACAGAAAAATCAAAGTCCAAATTGAAACTCACAATCCCTTGAGCTTGCAGAAACTGTAGCTGTTGACCTGCAATCCATACTGTGAAAAAATCCCATAAAGCCTATCCTACACCCTATACAGATCCTTTGCAGACCCTCTTGCAGTTGCATCATGATGCCCCAAACATGCCTGCCAAAGATTCCCCAAAGTATGTGAGTAACGTCGCAAGCTGATAGGTGGGGCTTCCCAAAATTAAGGCTACCTTTTTGGGGGTCCCCATAATTAAGATAATAATGTATTCTGTCACCAATAAATCTTTGATAAGCCACAATGATGTGCTCCGGCTCCAGAAACATCAGCAGGGAGGCCACAGTGTCTGCAATCTCGGCTGCCTTGGTTCCCAAAAAAAGTTGGAAACAAATTGACTTTAGCGGGTTGCTGTTACGGAACTTAAATTAAGTTACCAGAATGGGTATATTTAATAAACAATATGGTTTCGCCAATATAGCGACTTACGTTAAGTTCCTTAACAGCAACCCAGTTTTCAATCTGCCAGAAAGGTCAGAGTTCTAGCCATGACTTTCGGGTTACCACCATGACAAAAAGGACTTAGATAAGTTCACCTTCCCACATTCCCTAAGGGATCAAAAAAATGGAACCCCCCAAAACATGAACCCGTTTCTACATTGAAACGAAGGGATTAATAGGGGGGTCCATTTTTTGGGGATCCTTTAGGGGGTCTGGGTTGACGTCACACCGATAGCCCTGCACCAGCCAGGGCACACTTTGATGGCACGGCACGATGCAACCAATACGTCGCAAATACATGGGATCGTTCCGATGTGCAGGATTTTTCTCGGGCCACGGTGCCATGATATACATCAGAATGTCCTTGCATAGAGTAGAAGCATCGAGAGCAGCAGCAGCAATGGCCGTAGAAGCAGCAGCAGACTGGCATTCGCAGTTGTTTACTACTAAAGAAACAACTATCTGCAGCAGTTACCTGAATGAGTATGACCTAACTCCAATGAGCTACCCTTTTATGACCAAATACTTTCCATTTTTTCCGATACTTTCCATTTTTTCCGATTACCCTAAACCCTAAACCCTAATCCCTAAACCTTACATAACACCAATATGCAAAGGCTGGGCATTTCCAGTACTCTGATCACCCTGCATCGCGCACTAAATAGGCTTCAGGTTTTGACCCCAGGCTTCCCACAAGTTCAGGGTTTAGGGTTTAGGTTTCGTGTTTAAGGGTTAGGGCTTAGGGTTTAGGGCTTAAGGGTTTTGGGTTTAGGGTGTAGGGCTTGGGGAGTAGGGATTAGGCTTTTTTGGGGGGTTTAGGGATCAGCCAGCCAAATTAAGGGAGTACATAGGGAGAGTATAATGGCTCTGTAAGCATTATAGAGAGCATATATAAGGACAATATCAGGATCAAAGAGGCAGCATATGTAGGGATACTATAGATTTTATGGCTGAGGGTGTGGAGGTCTTAAGAGGGTGAGGGAGATTTTGCTCAAGCAGAAACTCCATCTACCGTGGCCTGGTGACAAGTCTATGCTAGGATTGCCGACGTTCCGGCCTTGGGAGCCATCGCGGGACGTCTGTAAGACGCAAGGGACTTCGAGAGTGCTTGTTGCTCGCTTGGCGTGATTCTAGGGCCTTTGTTCTGCTTGGTGGTCTGAGAGTTGGTTTGGAATGCGGCTTTGGGCTCCAGTTCCAGGCCTCGCGCTGGGCTGAAGGCTTTACAGTGGAGGACTCGGGGTCGCCGGGGCCCGGGGTTCAGGATTTGAGGCTCTCGGGGTGTTCTCGGGTTGGAGGGCCTGTATGCTTGAGACTTTGGCCAGTTGCATGCTCAGAGAGGCCTCTTTACTTGGAAGACTTTTCCTGGAGGCCTCTAAGCAGTTGCTGTTGCCGGTGCACGGCTTCGTCCCCATTCAGATGGCAAGCTACTGAGTGGACGTGTTTGGACTTTCTCTATGGACCCTGAAATGGATCCTTGGAATCCTCGACTCTCAACTCTGAATTCTTGAGCTCCGCCTAGACTCCAAGCACTGAACTCTTTGCTTTTTTTCTGCCCGGCTTACGTGGCGCCACTGCGGGTACTACTCACAAGCTCACCCGGCCCTCGTCGTCGTCTTCTCCGTGCTGGTCATCTTCCTTGGCTGCACGGATGTTGCGCATGGTGTGATCGCAAAATGCCATCTGCAAGAAAAAAACTGTTGCTTGCAAGTGGCGGGCTCGGGCTCTGGCTCCGGCTGTGGTGCTGGGGCGTCCTTTGGGACGGGCACGTGTGGCACCTCCCACTCATAGTAACCTCGGCGTTTGCTTCATTCTGTTCGGGGCTGCAGTGTTCATGCTAGTTGCTGACAACATGCCTTCCTCCCAGCAATCGACGTAGTGGACCTCGACCTCTTCGTCGTAGAGCAAGTCGTCGAGGTTAAAGAGCCTCCAGCGGCCCATGTGGTCCTCATTTGCAGTGCTTGAAAGGACCTTGGGGAGACTCCGTGAAATTTGATCCTAGGGTCCTTGAACCACGTGGAATAGATCCTGCCGTCTGGCGCTTTGACGTATCGGCATGCCGCCCGTGCCTTGGAAGTTGCTGAGTGACGATGCTACGTGGTTTCTTGTGTTGTTTGCTTGTTTTTGGCTATGTTGCAGTCGAGGCGCTTCTTCCTCGCGGTCTGAGAGGGCCATCGGACAGGGGAAATCGAATGGGTTGTGGTTGGCTTCTGTTCACTTGGGCCAGATCTTCTGCACGGGACCTTTTGTTGGATAGCTCGTGGCTTTGGTCTCACCGGTTTTTGGGGTTTTGTAAGTCCTTGGACGCGCAATCCGAAGGTGTGAATCCTAACCTTACTCCTCAATTGCTACATGCCAAATGGTAAACTCTGAACACTGTAAATCCGAATGTCCAGCCCTGCTACCACTCTGCACTTTGAGTTCCCTTGACCTTTGCATGCAAAGACTAGATCGCTCCAAGGCTCGGGTGAAGGAAGCCGAGGCACACCCCTTGAATTATCTAGTTTGTAACGGTAAGCATATAACCCGCTTCCTTCGTCCGTCACTTCGAGCAATCTAGAACGCGAACACCCTTCTTTTTCATGGTCGAGAGCGGGCTAGACTTTGGAAGAGTTCGTTAGCCTGCAGATGCACGACTCCAGACACACTTGCCCAAGCATCATACTTGCGGCATCTAGAATTGGCAGTTTCCCTAAGTAAAGTTTGAAATAACCCCAATCCATTATAATCTGCAATAAGGGACCCCTCATTTTTGGAAACACCTGAATCCACATAAACCACTTTATCATCCCGTTATCCATTTCATCTTCCTGCCTCCTCCGTTAGACCATCCATTAAGTATTGGAATAGTCCGTTCCGAGACCCCGAACCCCAAACCCATGATTTTTGAAAACCCTGACTCTAGTCCACCTTGTTTTCAGGGTTAGGGCTCAGGGTTTGTGGCTTCAAATGCTGCAGAAGAACCACCCTCCCACCTGTCAAGTTGTAGACCGAAAAAAAGGAACTTCAAGGATATCAGTGTTCTCGGACAGTAAACTCCAACTCCCGAAGACCCCTAAACCCCTAAGCCCTAAACCCTAGAACCTAAACCCTAAGCCCCAAGCCATAAACCCCAACTCCCAAGAATTGTTGAAGCTCAGCATCGAAGGCCAGATGCAAAATCGGGAGCTGGTGCAACCGAGGATACCTGAAATCCCATCGGTACAGGGTTGAGGGTTCAAGGTAAAGGTTTAGTGTTTACGGCCTAGAGTTTAGGGTTTAGGGCTTCAGGATAATGTTTAGGGTTTAGGGCTTAGGGTTTAAGATTTTCGGTTTATGGCTTAGCGTTTAAAAAACCATCGGGTCATGATTCATGAGAAAACTCCAATATAGCCCCAAAATACTACGATTACTAGGGGGACCCCTCACAAAGGGACCGTATCCGGAACGCCCAGTCAGAATGGCAGAGTCTTCTTTTGTTCTTGAAGAGCTTGCACTTGCATGTACAAGACTCCTCCAAAAAATGGTTTGAGAGCTAGAAAGCGGCCCCAACCAGCCCATGTAGCGTCAAGGCAGTTGAAGCATGAGGTGACGGATCAACCCTTAACCCTTGCAACCCTATATAGGCCCCCTTAAGCAGATAGAATATGGCTTTGGGAATATTATAATAGCATCCGCATATATACCATATTCTATCCACTTACGACCATATTCTATCTACTTAAAAGGGACTCTACCCTAAACCCTAACCTAAACCCTAAACCCTATATTCTATCCACTTAAGGGGGACTATAGTCCCTACAACCCATGTGCCTAGTCCCTACTAGCTCTAGGGAGGCTTACGGTTGGGGGATCCCCCATGTCCACCCCACTTCCAGAAATCTGTGGGTGGCGGCACATCCTGCGCCCAGCGAACTTCGTGGATGTTGCCCAAAAAGCCATTGAAACTGGGCTTTCCACCAAGCTCCAGTGCGGGCCTCCAAAACGCCTCCAGAAGGCTTCCAGGGCGCCTCCAGGGGGCCTCCAGAAGGCCTTCAGGGAGCCTCCAGAAGGCCTCCAGCGACACAACCCCCCAAACGCCTCCCCACAAGCCTACGGACCTCCACAACCCTCCACGTGCCTCCAGATTTGCCATTGTCTTACTCAGTACGCGTGTAAAGGCTGACGTGTATCTTCAGTGTCTGACCACCCTAGCAATGGGTGGGAACAGCCTAAGCAGGCCGGGTGGGAATTTAAGGTTTAGGGTTTAGAGTTTAGGTGAGACTCAAAGCCAAAACCAAATGGAAAATGAAATGGAATCTCAGGGGTGTACCAAAACATAGGGTTCAGAATTTTGGGATTAGGCTTTAGGATGAAGACCAAGCACCAAGGGGTTCAGGGCTCAAGGTCTAAGGTTCGGGGTAGGGTCAATTAGGGTTTTTGAGCTCTCAATGCCCAGATAAACAAAAAGTCCCAAGCTTGAAGATTGAATGAGTCATTGGTGCTGAAGGGGGAAGTGGCGGATCAACTCTAGACAACCTTTTGCGGGACAAAAGCGGAATTTTTAAGGATTGCAAGGCTTGGCGGTCACACCTAAGCCGGGTTTAGGGAAGGATTTTGGTTAGTTCCCTATATTAGGCTCCCATTTTGGTACCCCAAAATAGCAGGTGCCTTAACATAATCCTCAACCACAAAGGGCCCATATGTTTTGGGAACTACCCATTTAAGGTTTTGTTTTTCAGGTTTAGGGCTGAACCTTCATATGCAGGGCACGCGGGCGCCAGGAAGGCGACAATGCTGGCCCGAGCGGTGAAGATGCTCCTTTTTGCAAACAAGGTTTGGGCCTTGTGGGTCTAGCCCACAAAAGGGTTTAGGGTTTAGGGCTTAGGGTTTAGGGTTTAGGGAGCTTTGGGGTTTAAGGTTTAGGCTGTGGGGCTTGAACTAAGTGTACCTAAACAGCAGCGTCACTGCTAGTCACCAAGCAGAACAGTAGTAGCAGCGTCAAGTACGGGGATACTCTGAGACAGCCCGCCCCCTAATTATAAATGCCACCATTCTTGGTGATGTGCATCACTTGCCAAAACCCTAAACCCTGAAGCCCAAACCCGAAACCCTAAACCCCACCAGGTCTGTGCAAGCAATACCTAGCCTGCCCAAAAAAATGATGCCCCTTAATTGAAGCACATACCCTACATGATACTTCAGGCATATTCCCTAGTCGAAGGTATTGGGACTGAGCCTGCTTCATTGCCATCCCTGATATCAAACACGTCTTCTAACGTCTACAGGCTTTGATGGCAATACTGAATCTTGGGGTGGGGCTTACGAATTATGGATAAACCCAAAAAACCCTAAACAGGCTCAAAGTGTAGGGTTCCCCAATGTACCAATAACTCGAAAAGCCCTAA